CTCTCTCTCTCTCTCTCTCTCTCTCTCTCTCTCTCTCTCTCTCTCTCTCTCTCTCTCTCTCTCTCTCTCTCTCTCTCTCTCTCTCTCGGTCGATCAGTCTGTCTGTCTGTCTCTGTCTGTCGGCCGGTCTCTCTCTCTCTCTCTCTCTCTCTCTCTCTCTCATGCGAGCACATTTACGTGGACGTGGGTTCACTCACTGCTCCAGGATTCCTTTCACGTAAATCATGTTCTTCTCCATCAACGCCAGCTCCCGCCTGAGCAGGTCAATTTGTTCGTCGTCGCCCTCAACAACGACATCTGTTGTCGACTCGTCGTCAGATAGCACCATCTTCACCTTGATCTGCTCTGTTCTGGTTGCCCTAGTCCAGTAGTAGACGCCAGCAAGGGGACTGAGAGTTGTAAGCAAGTACCAGTTTTGCCCCAGCTGCGGAGCTGTGATCGTCAGCACTAACGCCACGCTAGCCAACCCAACTGCAGTGCAGAATACGAGGAAGGCAGCCTGACCCCTGCTTGGTGTCATCGTCCCCTCAAACGTTACAATCTCGCCGCTGTCCTTGATTCTAAAGTTATTTCTGGTGAAGAAGGATGAAATCTCGCCGGCAAGTTGTTTTAGGGGCTTCGAGTTTGGAACCTTCGGACCGGGAACAACGAATGTCTTCCTCACGATCTTCGACTTAGCGGACCTCTTCACAAGAGACCATAAGCCAGGAGCCGACAACACGAAAAGTCCGAGGGAGGTGTAGTAGCTCAGCTTGGAGTACCCGGCGCTACCATCATCTGCGGCTGCCAAGGAGAACAGCAGAAGCGGTGCAGAGCTGTACAGTGTTGTGGGAACATCAAATCCACTGTCATGACCTGTGATCCGCGTCGCCCTTCTGCCGGTCCCCATTGCACCATTGGCTGCCTCATCATCCTCCTGACCGTCCTCTGGTGTGTCACAGCTCTCGGGCAATGTCTTTGGCGACGACTCGCAGTCATTCGTATCCATGTCACCACTCCGCAGGGCACATGATGTGCCGCTTATGCGAATATCTCCAGCCTTCCTAACGTCAAGAGGATTTGTGGTTTTCGGATCGCAGTGACCAAGAAAGAACTCTGGAAATCTACGGATTTCACGGACCAATCGACGAGTTGTTGCCTTCGACTTTGACTTATCTGAGCGATAAGCAGCAATGCCATAGCTCGTACTGTTTGGAGATACAGTACATGGCTCCTCAGAAGCATAACCACTAATTGGTGGCCGACCAGCGGCAGGTCCACGCATTGCGATCCGGGTGCATGGGGACGCCATGCATATGGCTCCAGCCATTGCCTGCAGAGGAGGAAGGAAGCGGAACGGTGATGGTGATCGAACCTGGAGCTCCTTTATAACTGTCTAGTCTCGTCCCTTCGCTGTTCCTGCTAACGTTTTTCCCACCGTGTCTTCTGAAGTTTCAGAGAAAGCCACACATCATGTCCAGGTGCACTGAATCTGATCATCCATCAAGATGGACACAGGCAACAAGGGAAAGACACATGGCACCAATTTAACTTAGGCTAAGATTACACTCCAGATTTTTAAAATATACTCCCAAACACAACTATTACAAGTATTATGACACTTTTTTTTTTCCTTTTTTTTTTTAACACACACACACACACACACAATGTATGTATGTATTTTTTCTTTCTTGATTTTTTGAATTTTTTCCAGTGTTGCACACCCCAACGGTCGACGGCCTTTGACTGGACGGCTACCGACCAGCTGACCGGTCAGCCAGTCGGCACCTGCCAATCAGGGGTCGTCGGCACCCCACACAAAAAAAGAAAAGAAAAGAAAAAAAAAAGAAAAAAAAAAAAGGGTCCAGAACCCCTAATAACTCCACCAACACCGCTGTGATGTGTGAAAACTCGAGCGCACTCATGCGCGAGC